TTCTTTTACATATATATATATATATATATATATATAATCATAATGAGTTTTTATAATGTCATCTACGTACAAAACATTAATTTTTTTTAATATTTACCTTAAAAATCTTATTAATAATAAATTTTTGATTGCTGGAGTCCTAGAAATTAAACTCATAAATTTATTAAACTAGACATATAAAAGCACTCTAGTCGATAGTAAATATATAATTTAATATGGGACACGAGATCATTTGGTGCTCCCAAATTCAATTTTTGTCTATTCTAAAATAATGTCTAATTAATGAAAATCACGTCTTGCAAGCAAAAATTAGTCCATTGTCAACTTTAAGATACTGTGTACATCATGTTCATAAAAAAATAAAATGTATAAATAAAATTTAAAATCTAGGCCTAGAATGAACTCAATTATCAATAGCTATGCTTTGGTGGAGTATTAGCAAACTTCCAGGAGCAGCGCATAAAAGGCTCAATATTCCGATCCCCTACCACCTCAGATATTGGTATTGCCTCAGTAATTTCCTTCAAATCATCGCCGCAGAGCTTCGCTTTCAATGAACCAATGTTATTGTCTAGATTTTTTATTTTTGTTGTTCCTACAAAATGAGGTTCGGTAAAAATTTAATCCATACGTTAAAACTGTTAAGAGATTGAGAGATCTCGAGATGTTTTAGAACTTGCACAACAAGTAACATGGCTGTGTATATATTACTGGTTCAGTCAACGGGGAAGATTGTTCAAATGTTCAGTTGACGCACAAACTGTTAACCAATGAGTTATAAAAAATTCCCAATTCAAAGCAATAAACACCATGTTTATTCCATACAAAGGAGACAGCACCTTCCACAACCGCCATAAACATTTTACCACAATAATTCATCAACAGTCGTATAACCAATATCTTCCTCTCTTCTGTTGTTTTAGAACTTAAAATTTTTAGTGCTACATGATGTTCACTTTTTTCTACACTTTACTCACTGAACAGTCTCATCTCGCAGTATGTTTTAATAGATGAATCTCTATGAACCAAATACTTCTGAATACAAAAGGGGTTGAAATTTATACTATCAAAACTTGATGGGCATAAATTGAAGGATTTTAAAGGCGAAGCGCTAAAATTTGTAAATTGCAGCCTTCATATGTCATTCATGATTCAAGACAACTACTGCATAAGGATTTTAGAAATTATGATTCTCACATACATTCATAATAGTAAGAGAGACTTACCTTGATCCATGACAACCGTAATGAGAATAAGTTATTCAATCACGTTTCTTTATCTATCTCTTTCCATACTTCATATCCTCGTGTCACTTTCTTTGATGGCAAAAACGAGAGTCGTTTCTATGGCAGAGATAGAACCCAAAAATTCCTCTTATTCAACCAACTTCCATCAAGTTGGTTATCGGCGGTTATAAGATTTGAAAATAGTAACTTCCCATATTTGCCAATAGGTCCTTTTATTTTATTAAATCACGTTTAAGCTTTTAATTCACATGAGTCACATTATAATATTATTTAATATAATTACAGCTTCTGGATGAAAGGCAAAGTTTAAACGTTATGCGATTTCTCCAAGCAATTAATGCGTAAGTTATAATGTTTTTGACAAACCTGATTGTATTTTTTTACTTTCTCCTGGTTCCTGTATTTTCTCCCCGTAGGTATTTAATTCATGTGAACCGTTGTATACAACCATCATGTAACTGCTGGTCCCTGTTATTATTGTTGATACTTTAAATATTCTTCAGATGATTCAAATATCAACAGTATATTTTGGTGGTTTGCTTATCAAGTTTATACTAGTTGTTAGAAAATTCTCTTCTACAGTTCGAATTTGAAATGGTGATAGTTGGTATTGCATACGGCTTATTCTACAGGGGAACCAATTTCTAATCTGTGGCTACTGATTTCTTCGATTTTTGGCAGATTAACGTGGCATCTAAATGAAAAAATATGACAAAAGAACGCTACTTTTTATTAGGATATTGTCCTATGACATTATCTTCCACATATGACAATATCTTCATATGGTTTTCTCCTTGACTTGTTGGATTTCTTATAAATATGGTACTTCAAATATTCTTCAGATGATTCAATAGCATATTTTGGTGGTTTGCATGAAATTCATGCAAGTTGTTAAAAAAATTATTTTCTACTACTAGAATTTGAATTGGTAATAGTTGTTATTTCATACAGTTTATTTTACAGGAGAACCAAATTCTAATAATGGCATGTAAATGAAAAAATGAAAAAAGAATGTAATTTCTTATATTGTCCGATGATATGATATTCCACGTAGGATAATTTCAGTAAAATGCTGAAAATTTTAAAACTTGGCAAAGTATTATTGTTTCCTTGATTTTTTACGAAAGTGGTTAACTGCTTGCAGAAGGCACGACCTCACTGAGGGTCTGAAGGACTTGCAATGTAAGACACTTATATTTGCAGGTGAGAGTAGCCCATTCCATGCTGAATCTGTGTACATGAGCACAAAAATGAACAAAAAAATCTCTGCACTTGTTGAGGTAGGTATACTCAGGATGCTCCTCAAATCTAGTTGAGAAAGACAGACAGAAATAACATGATAATAACTTTATAATACTTGCTCAGGTTCAGGCTTGTGGATCACTGGTAACAGAAGAGCACCCAAATTCTATGATAACACCACTAGAGTGTTTCTTAATGGGTTTTGGCTACCACAGACAAATACATGTTGCTTCCTCGTCAAGCAATGGCTCAAATCCAGCAAGCCCCTCTAGTCATTCATGCATAGCACCAGAACTTCTCTCCCCAGAGAGTTTAGGAATTAAGCTCAAGCCCATCAGAACCCGTGTTGATGTTGAAATCTAACTTAGTCCAGCTAAAAGATTGACAACAACAATGCAGCAGTGGACTGAGCTAAAGCATTGCACATAGTTTAATATATAGCTAGTGTAGGATATATTCTTTGATTATGTTGGTGGACTAATGATCTTGTTTGCAAAATGGATTTTTTCCTACCAATGTAAAAAAGTAGGAGGTATCTTATAGGATATTCTTTTACTAATATTGTTTTTTGAGATAGATCTCACCAAAATCTATTCTGGAACTTGCTGTGCACCTTACTGCTTTTAAGGTTTAATGAACCTCAAGCAATAAGGACTGTTTGTTACTAATGTTGATTTTTTTAAGTGAATATATATGCATTAATTTTGTCATTATTTTTGTCGGCCAATAGTTTAAATTATTGCATTGAGAAGTGTATTTTGGTTGCTTGCTCTGTTTTATGTTAAGCCTTCAACTTTTAAAATTATGACACACAGATCCATTAGCGGCTAGCACACATCGATAGGAAGTGCCCCATGTCAATATTGTCGCATTTTTTGTCTAATCATAAAAGGTAATTTACTAATTTTGTCCCTGCCATCTATGTTGACGCGGTCTTTATCAGTTGAAAGCGTTACCATTTACCAGTGGAGTAAGTTTTACGTTTATAATAGGATAGAAAATTTTGACCCATGAAACGTAAAAGCCCACAAGGTTTGAAAACCCGCCTTTTGTGCCCCACAAGATTAAAACGCATTCCCGTAATAAATAGACTAGCTCATTTTCATCATATTGATCATTGTTTAAACCAATTTCAACTCATTTAACCAATCATATCTTTTTCTCTTTTATCTCCCTCTTTCTGGTTGTCAAATAGTATTTTAGTTGTCCAAATGTAATTTTTTGGAATAAAAAACACACCCTCGAATATAAGATTTACAACTCACATAAGAAATCAATTTAACTCTAGTTGTGGTTATAATAGAAATTTAGAGTAACGTTAGGAAATTGGAACAATTGTTATTGGGTTTTATGCAATGTCTGGTTACTAACACATTATTGTCAGGTCACTCACATTCTTGGGTATACTTTTCTTTAACACATTGTTACTTCAGTAAGGTAATCTTCCCATTCTTTCCCCTAACTTATGAAGGTGGAAGGAATCATTTCTGTATGTGACACTACTTCTCCACATTTGTTGTAGGAACTTAGGTGCAGTGTCCAGGGAGCAGAATCAGACATAATACTAACTTGCCGAAGGGTATGAACATCTCAATTACAGCTAATACATATATTTTGCCTTGAATAAATGCATAATTTATATCTGTAGAATTCTGACCTCGTATAGTCTTTTCTGTTCTATAATTACACCACATCATTCCCTTGATGAAGAAGCCATGCAAGAGCAAGTTGTGATGTTGTACATCCATGTTTCTCTGCCAACTTTTCTATCTTGAAATATAAGATCTTGTTCTTGTCGAAGTTCTGCCCCTGTAACCTTGGTTGCATTGCCTGGTGGTAAAAGATGTGATCAGAAAGGAAAACAACACAGCATTCCATTTCCAAAATATGAATTAAGTTTATAACGTGATATATTGAAAACCAGAAACTATTTGCTGCATACCAGAAAACTATCTGTAGGTATACTTTCTATGACTGCCTTACCACCAAAAAACCCACGGCCAATAGGACTGAATGGTACTATTCCAATTCCAAGTTCCCTGTAAGTGTAGTGACCATTCACAAAGCCATTTGAAATTATTAATGAAAATTCATTAAGGACAAGGAATGGTATTAAGAAAAGAATTAAAACCTTAATGAGTGCACACTCAATAAAGAAATCAAAAGGTCCAAACTAATGCTATTAGAAACAGACCGGACTTAACTACAAAAAACTAGCTTAAGCCATATTCCTACCCAATGTGAGTTGGCCCAAAATTGGACATATTGAGTTTGAACCTAATTTGACTCTGCAAAATTAGCTTTTAAGATGATGATTACATACACTTTATAATGGTCATCTCACTAATCGGTAAGGGATCTCCAACACATATGATGCATAGAATTCACAAGATTGAACATCTGTCGATGACCCAATATTAAGACTACATAAGCTCTTATACCCTATTAAGCTATTAGAAACGAACTGGCCAAGTTCAGTTCCAAAGTTAACTAAGGGAAAGATCGATCGCAGACATTTCGGTAAGGGATCTCCAACACATATGATGCATAGAATTCACAAGATTGAACATCTGTCGATGACCCAATATTAAGACTACATAAGCTCTTATACCCTATTAAGCTATTAGAAACGAACTGGCCAAGTTCAGTTCCAAAGTTAACTAAGGGAAAGAGAATTGTTCAAGTCTTCTAAGGAATATTCTGGTTATATTCCTAACTAAAGCATAGTACATCTTAACAAAAGTAAGTTCCAATACATAAGTACATTTTGTTGGAATAGATAAAAGTGAACCAATTCTCATCAAAAGAGAATCTCCATGAACCAACCAACTTTCCTCCAAAGAAATCACAAAAAATAAAGTATGTTGCTATCATTTTTGAAACAATTAAAGATCTCCCAAGTAATGTTTAAACCCAGGAGGAAACGATCCAATTTCAATTGTGTGATAGTGTATTCAAGTTATCATCAAAGAGTAGAACTTTACCTGCAAAGTGGAACAATTTCTTGCTCAATTTCACGAGACCAAAGAGACCACTCCATTTGCAGAGCAGTAATGGGATGAATGGCATGAGCCCTCCTAATTGTGTCCGGGCTAGCTTCTGACAACCCTATGTATTTTACTTTTCCTTCTTCAACTAACTTTTTAAGCTCTCCCATCTATTCATTCAAAGAAAAATTAATATTCATGGTATTTCGAAAACTTGTCAAATTAGCGATAATTACAGTATCAGTGAAATTAGTCTTCTGTTCAATGGACTAGGAATAACCTTGGCACTCACCAACATGAGGTGAGCCAAATCAAAAGATATTAGCACTCACAGTTTCCTCAATGGGGAGTGTTGTGTCAACACGGTGCTGATAATAGAGATCAATATATTCTACACCAAGGCGGTGTAGGCTAGCCTCACAACACGACCGAACATACTGAGGATCACCTTTTACTATGACATGGTTGGACTCAAATTTGACAATCCCAAATTTGGTGGCAAGCTGAATTTTTTCTCGTGGCAACTCCTTGAGTGCCTGAGAGTGAAGAAGAGTTAATGTTATCAAGTCCCTTTTCCATGATCGAATTAGCAACTCGTCACAGTAAGGATTTATAGGTGTACCTTTCCCAGCAGAAGTTCATTGGTGTGGGGTCCGTAAAAATCCGATGTATCAAAGAACGTGATTCCCTTTCTGAATGCATCCTTTATTAGAGAGATGCCAACCTCTTCAGGAACAGGGGCCTTAAAGACACCGCTAAGCCCCGCACAACCAAATCCCAATTTGGAAACCTATTAAAACAAAACAAAGGTGATGAAAATGATAAAATCATACTCACAAATGGATAAAAAGCTTCAAGTTAACGGCATCAAAGGAGAATCTAATATACCTCGAGGCCTTGCCTTCCGAGTTTAACACGAGGTATCTCCATTTTTGCGTTTCCACTCCTGTTCTGCCTTAATTCCACCTAACCTTTAAGGCTTTAACATCCAAATTTTACATCATCTTGCATATTTCTTTACTATTCAGTCTTTCTTTTCTTTTTCATGATTACATTTATCATTTCTTACCTTATATAACATTTAGCATTTTAATTATGATTTAAGTTATTATTTTTATTGTCGTACAGAGCAGAAATTACTGTTTACTTAATATTAGAAAAGGGAAAAAAATTGCTAAGCAAAACATCCGCTATTAAAAAATATCTCTCCTTTTGTATCTAATTTTAATCGTGAAATTAATCTCATCTCTAAAAATTCAGTCAGGTACTTGAGTGTTCTCCCATCTACATCTTTTTCTTACACAAATCTTACAATCGAACCTGAAGTCACATAAAGGATTTAGGCTCCATCCACCGAGGCTAATTCACATGTTGGTAAAATAAAAATTTGTGGACACCAGAAATCTGTTCCACATTTTTTAAGAAAGAGAAATGTAGGTATGAAGTGATATGGGGTGATATTACACAGAATTAAATATAAATGATGAGTGTCATGACGTGTTTAGAGTGAAAGAGTATTCACATATCATTACTCACTCTATATCAGTGCTATTGCACAGGCTCAATTAGTCGTCATCCACGAAATTGATTCCTTAAAAATAATGAAAATCTTGTTTTTATTATTCTTGTTTATCCATAATAATGTGCTATAGTTGCAAACTTTACTATAGCAGAAGTTAGCAATACAAATTATTTTGAATAGTATCAGAAGTTACATGAGAGTAATCCGTATCTCAAACATAGCAATTAAGTGGCATGAGATGTGACTAAATTTGGTAAACTATAAGTTGCAAGGTGTGGCAGAACTGGTATCTAGCTACGCTTTGGTGGAGTATTAGCAAACTTCCACGAGCAACGCATAAAAGGCTCAACAGTTCGATCCCCTACCACCTCAGATATGGGTATCGCCTCTGTAATTTCCCTCAAATCATCCTTGCTCAGCTTCACTTTTAATGAACCAATATTGTTGTCAAGATTTTTTACTTTTGTTGTTCCTACAACACATAAGGTTTCATAAAAATGTCATGCCATGTTTCAGAAGACAGATATCTATGCATCATTGTTAATTGATATGATTGCACAGAAACTTATATGAGTAAACATATATATACTTGCAGGTGACAAAATGGAAAAATCACTCACCAGGGATGGGCACCACATCGTCCCCTTGATGTAGAAGCCATGCAAGAGCTAGTTGTGGTGTTGTGCATCCATGCTTCTCTGCTAACTTTTCTATCCTGAAGTAAAAGGTTTTGTTCTTGTCGAAATTCTGCCCCTGAAACCTTGGCTGGACTGACTGATGAAGTAGGATGTTGGTGAATAATGAAGGACCATAATATTGTTATTAGAAACAAGAAAAACAACACAACATTTCTGAAAGTATGACCCATAAACAGAAACTATTGACTTCACTTCATACCAGATAACTGTCTGCAGGTACACTTTCTATGACTGCCTTACCACCAAAAAATCCACGGCCAAGGGGGCTGAATGGTACTATTCCAATTCCAAGTTCCCTGAAAATGTTCAACATTCACCAAAGTCATTTAGCGAAGATTCCCCAAGGATATGGTCAGGTATAGAGAAGGAATGAAACAACTTAGGGAACTACACTCTACATGAATCCAAAGGTTCCAGTTTCAGTATATACACAAGACACACGCAAGGGACTTACTTCCCTGCCGGAATAAGTCTTATTATTAAACTTGTTCCATATTTTTTTTCTTCTTGATGAGCACAAAAGATAACAATGGATATCCAATCTAAGTCCAGTTACATCTATCTCAACCGTATAACAATATATCAACTCTAGAGGTTCAAACAATTTTCTTTAAACACTGAATTTTTTTTTAATAAAAAGAATTTGATACATTAATTCAAACAAATTAAACATCAGTAGAAAATTTATTAATTAACTTCGTTTTAGTGTATGTATTAGAAATTTACTTCCAAGTATATAAGAGTTCAATGAAGAATAAATAAGAGATTTTTTTTATCAACAAATATTAACAGTTAGTTGTTATGTTAGCGGAGAGTTTTAAATTCATCTCTTCTTATCATTTCAGTCTTATATTCCTCCTTCCAAATCATCAGATCACTTTATAATTTTCTAGAATACATAAGAGATTTGACTTATATATATTCAATGTTTTTGAATAAAGAGGTTTAAATTTTTTTGGTGATGATTAAAATGAGTTAACCCTTTTGGATACTCTTAGACTCCCTCATCAATATGATATATTTTTTAAATTATAATTAAATATGAATTAAAAAAATTTATATTTATGAATCTTTAATTTATCTAAATTTTAATATTCATTATATATTATCAATATGATAATAAATGATTCAATAGTTATATTAATAAAATTTATATTTTATAAAAAGTAAACAAGCAATATTACATATAAAATATACTCAATTCGAATAGGATTATTTTCTAAAAAAACATACTTGTGATTTTTGAAATAACACTTTGGATAACCTTTAATAAAATTATTTATTCAATTGATAAACTTAAAGTTATAATCTATAAAATTTCCTATAATATAAAAATTAATTAAAACCCCACCCCTTTGCTTTATATATATATACACACCAGATAGATTACACATTCATTAGTATCTAACTCATTTAAAATTTGATATATATATATATATATATATAGACATAATTTAAGCTTGAGTTTTGATTTTAGGCCGAAGTTAATGTGGAAAGAGCAAAGAACAGTACTTGCCTACAAAGTGGAACAAGTTGATCTTCAATTTCACGAGACCAGAGGGACCACTCCATTTGCAGAGCAGTAATTGGATGAACAGCATGGGCCCTCCTAATTGTGTCCGGGCTAGCTTCCGACAATCCTATGTATTTAATTTTTCCCTCGTGAACCAACTTCTTAAGCTCTCCCATCTGTTACTATTATTAATATTATTACTATTACTATTACTATTACTATTGAAATAAAAGTATAAAAGAGGTAGATTGTAGGTGGTAGCACTTACAGTTTCCTCAATGGGCACTGTTGTGTCAATCCGGTGCGGATAATAGAGATCAATATATTCCACCCCAAGGCGCCGCAGGCTAGCCTCACAACATGATCTCACATATTCAGGATCACCTCTTACGATCGCATTATCTGACTCAACTTTCACAATCCCAAATTTAGTTGCAAGCTGAACTTCATCTCGTGGCAACTCCTTCAGTGCCTGAGAATCACTTTCCCATGAATCCACGCACTCATTGATTGAATATGAGTGAGGGATATATATCATATATATGTAGTAATTAAATAATAAATGCAATATATACCTTTCCTACCAAAACTTCATTAGTGTTGGGTCCATAAAAATCGGACGTATCAAAGAATGTGATTCCCTTACTGAATGCATCCTTTATGAGAGAGATGACAACCTCGTCAGGAACAGGACCATCAAACACTCCACTAAGCCCCGCACAGCCAAATCCTAACTTAGAAACCTGTCATGAAATATTCAGATTCAGATACAACCAAGGCAAGGCTATGAATGAAAAACTTTAATATAGCAAAATCAAAATCCAACATACCTGCAGGCCTTGCCTTCCAAGTTTAACGCGAGGTATCATTTTTCCTTTGCGTTTCAACTTCAATCCCGATTCCCATTCATCTACCTCATGTCAAAAACTTTAATACAAAAATTGCCACGCCCCCCGCGAGCTCATTATTTTAAATTTAAAACATTCGATTAATAAATATATTCGATTGGAGGACCAAATTCTTTTTTTAATATTTAATACACCTGCATAATATTCTTTTTACATCGTTAATTAATTAAACTTTAACTATGACTTTTTAAAATACTTATTATAGCTTATTTAAGTTAAGTTCTCTAATTTAAATATACTTTTTATAACTTTTTTATTATTAACGACAAAAAACATCTTTACTTATATTCTATGCATCCTTATATTATTTCATTATATATAATGATTTATTTCTTACCCTTGTGATGGATTCTTTCTTCATTTCAAGCAACAACCAAGGATATTAGAAGTAGAAAAATATAAGTGAAAAAACACTAGCTTGTCAGCAAATGTTTAACAATTTTCTCCCCTTTGGTCCAATACCATAAAGGCTTGCTATATCCTTCAACAAAAAATGCTTGCTATAATTTCAGGCCCAAGAGTTTTCCTAATAATATGAGTGGACATCATTAGTCATAACTTCTTGCAGCCAATCGTTTCGTATAATTTCCCCCTTATTCTTTTAATTATTTGTTTTTTTTTTTGGAAAAATTGGATTAGGTCTTTTAAATGACACATTTCTTCTTTAATTTATAAGTGAATATTAAATATTCTTATTTTATCTAAGTGACATATTAGCACATGTAATTTCTTATATAAGATAACACATTATTAATGTATTATTAAAAAAAAAACAAATTATCAATGCAAGTGTTAACAATTAAATGAGATTTCATCTCTTTACATTTTAACTCTCAAATTATATCATAAATTTCATGTATATTGTGATTTAAAAATATACTAATTTCAAATAACAAGTTGAAAAATTATTATTTCAAAATTAAAGAATGCTGAAAATTTTCATTAAAAATACATAATATTGTAAGTAATCTAGAAATAAATGATACACACATACATAATCGATAGAATATAAATTGATTTTTATTTTTTCTCCTTTCTTACTTTAACTAATAATGTTATTCTAAGAAAGATAAGTGATTTTTAAAAATTATAAGGAAGATGTGTGTGTCATTTTAATAAACATGAGGAGAAGTGAGTGCATTGGTTCAAAGTTTAATACAATCATTAACAATGCTAATTTTTTTCACATTTTTCTTAAGTTGTATGATTTTTATGTCTTATAATAAGTGTCATTTTAGGTTATTTTGCACATAAAAAAAATTAATAAATAGATGAAAAAGAATGATAATTTTACAAAATTAATCTAATAAATAATTTTTTTATTATGAAAGATATGACACGATAACCACTTTATAAATATTATATAGAATATAAAAAAAGTAATATTACATTAAAAAATTAATATAACACTTATTTTTTTAAAATACGACATTTATCAAATATATGTTAACAAAATAATTAGACACACAAGTCAAATTTAAAATGCAAGGTAAAACTATAAAATCATAAAGAAAATAAAGTTAGTAAATTAATGGAAAGTGTACAGGTAGGGGCATTCGGCCATATCTCTATCGGCCAACGAATGGCAGAGTCAGGTGGCCGATCGCCAATCGGTCACCTGAATAAGTCCATCACTCGATAGTTAATCTATGCTTAAGGGATAATTACTATTAAGGTGTATTACCTAATATGGTAAATACATCATACGGCCCATAAGGTCCAAGGCCCATAAATGTCAGTATAAATAGCTCAGGTCAAAAGGTAACGTCACTGTTCATTAATTACTCTCGATATTGGTGCTTGTCCTGACTTGAGCGTTGGAGTGCCTTTTGCAGGTACCAACCCCTCACTCGCGTTGGATCGGAGTACTCGTTCGGCCTTCAGAATACGAGAAGACTTGGTGTACCCTCTAGACAGGTACAGAAAAAAAGCTGCGTGTAAGTTTTAATTTGATGTGATAATACTCTGTTGACGAATGACAATGGCACAAAATTAAATAAAATAGAAAATGTATTACGTTTGTTTGATATTTGTTGAAATTCTATTATTTGCTTAATGTAATATAGCAAATAATTTTTAAACAAAATTATGAGCCTATTTCCTTTATGCAATATACGTATTTAGAATATTTATATATAAAATGATTTTATATATTGTTTACATACCCTAAAATAAAATATAGGATCGATCTATATATTGACTCATTTAAATAGTCAAATTCAGTATTAAATTTGAATGAATTTTTTTATTTACTTAAAGAGAATCAATCAAACATTTAGTAAGTCGGGCTTAAATAGTTAATAACGAAGTTGTTTACAATTCGAATTCCATGTACACGAGTTTGAGAATTGACTTTGTCCAATGTAAGAAGTGTTGTATTCTTGTGAAACTATTGGTGACTTTTCTGTTTTTACTCTCTTTTATAATTGTAACAGCTCGATTTTCACTGTACGAGAGCCCAAAGCCCATTAGAGGTGATTTAGTAGTCCAGAACGGGTCGTTTTAAACTACTAAAACGATGGTGATTAGTATCTCAAAACGTGTCGTTTCCAGATTGGAACGGGTCGTTCCAAAATACTAAAGTTGCCTACAAATCTTAGTTGAGAATGGGACATTCCAAACTACGAAAAAGACTTGTAACCCTAGTTGGGAACGAGACGTAATGTTTAAGAACGGGCGGTTCCAAATATAAACGTTATGGGTTAAATGCAACCCCAGAACGGGCCGTTCTGGTTTGAGAACAGACTGTTCTGGATGTGAATTTTACACATGCCATCAGATTCCAGAACAGGCCGTTCTAGATTTGAAACGGGTCATTCTGACGACGCTTGATGCCTATAAATAAAGAGCTCTGGCACTCCCAAAAGGCACACCTTTCAGTTCTGACTCCTTTATTCTACATTCTCTTCTTTTCCTTCTACACTCTCTGAAGACCGAGGGGTATTCAGAGGAGGAGACTAAGGAGATCTCTGTTTTAGTTTCAGTTACTGTTTATCCAGATACGGAAAAGGGAATTATTTGTATGCAAAGTTATATGAGGGAATTGGGTAGAAGAGGAAGCTCATAAGATTATGAGTAATTTTATAATTATTTCTGTTTGGAGAATTATTGGTCTTATGTGATTCTGTATGAATTTAGGATTATGAATATATATTTAAATTGTAAAAATGATGATTTGAGAGAGAGAACGAAATTATAGAAAAGTGTCTGTGATTTAGGTTTTGGAAAATTGAGAGTTTTACTATTTGATTTAATATTGTATTAAATTGGTGATTCGGTTGAGTATTATATTAATTTATAAATGTTATTGTTATATTATATGATAAAAAAATTGATGATCTAGATGTGAATTATTTAAGAGGTATGTGAACCATTATTTTGTTGGACTTATTCGTTGTGTGTATGTGATATGTTATTGAGCTATAAGATGAGATGTGATGAATGTGAATATGATTATGATTGTAGTTCCTCACATCAATGACCAGGGATGGCACGACCCCTGGGTAAGTGATGCTACAGGGAGGGCGTGACCCTGACATGGTGTGGGATGAGTGGGACAATTAACACGTATCACTTATGTCAAATGTGGGGTAGCCTTGGCATAGGGTTAATTGCAAGAATTGTGTGGATTGTGATGTGATTATGGTTCCTCACATCAATGACTAGGGATGACACGACCCCTGGGTAAGTGATGCTACAGGGAGGGCGTGACCCTGGCATGGTGTGGGATGAGTGAGACAATTAACCCGTATCACTTATTTCAGTTGTGGCGCGACCTTGGGATAATGTTAATTGTAAGATTTGTGTGAATTATGAATGTGAAAATGATAATGTTAATTGCAAGATTGAGATGAATGAGTGTGATTGCGAATTATGATGTGAAGATGATGTATGATTGATAGAGTTATGATATATAGAAATGCTTGTGAATATTTCATTAAGTAATGAGTAATGATGAGATTGTGTTGTGTTTTCCTTATGTGCTTTACATATAGATGTTTTCTTTTCTCACCGTACAATTTGTGGATGTTTTAGGTGAGGAAGATCTGGCTTTGAGTGACATCTAGAATGTCAACAGTTGACTTATGGGTATGATATGATATTGTGACATCGAGATAGAGGATTTTTAGGACATAAATTGTAATTGTATATGGAGTTGAACCTATTATTTTGAAAACATTTTGTAACCTTTTAAAGTTTTATTTTCCAAGTTTCATTTTCAAAATATTTTGGATATTGAAAAATGTTTCTAAAGGTTTTTATGTGAACCATTTTATCTATATTGAAAATTTTATTTCCTTAATTTATTTACATTATTACAATACATGTGTTGGGATAATAAGAATGTCACAATAATAAAATAATGAGTATAATTTAATCGATTTATTTGAGGACGCAAAATGGAGGAAGTTAATGAGTAACAATATTAAGCTTAGGTAAAAATAAGTAGCAATATTTTTTTTATGTTAGTTCAGTATATATGTAGCGAGCTATTTCAAGTTAATTCTAAACAATAATACAGTACTGATTTTTTCTTTCTTTCACGGAATCAGCCTTTCTTGTGTTGAAAAAAAACCTCATTGTTTGATTTTATAATATGTTTGAAATAAAATTTTAAATTATGTTATTATAAATTAAAACGAGCAATTTAATATGATTATAAAAAAAATTAACTAATTTTATCGCTTTCAAATATTTGTTTCTTATTCATAAAACCAAAAGTAGCATCATTATCGTCAACCGAACACTATTTTATTGTGTTGTTAATACATTTTGATACTATTGCTGTTATCACAAGTGTTATTATTATTAAAATAAATCTCACAACAACAAAAGTTAACTTGTAGGATAAACGTTGTTATCAAAATTAAATATTTATAAATAAATATTTATTTTAGATTAACCTGCAAATTATTTATTCGTTCATTATGAGTTATATAATAATAGATTTTTAGGTTTTATGTATAATAAATAATAAACAATTATAAGTCCAAATATTAAATTTTAATTAAATTAAATATTTACAAGTAAAAGTGACTTTTTTTATTTTATCCATGATTATTATGTTTGTAAAAACAAAATGTCTATGTAAAAGTCATTTTCTTTTGGAACACTCTGAAGTATGTACATAAAAAAAAATTGGTTAAAATATTTTTTAGTTTTTATACTTTTAATGATTATACATTTTAGTCTTTATAGTTTAAATAAATTTTTTAGTCTTTATATTTATTTTTTTAATCATTTTTAATCACTATAATTTAAGATGAATCTTCTTAGTTTATATACTTACAATTTTTAATTTTTTTAGTTTATATACTTACAATTTTTAATTTTTTTAGTTTTTATTGTTAATTTTTTTTTGTAATGTCTCTTTTGTGTTGAGGTGATAGAGATCTTATTCAACTTTGTAGGTTTGATAAAAATTTATTTTGTTAAAATTATTTTAAATTATGTTTTTCAACGCTGAATATCTCTTTTGTATTATTTCATATGATATTCATTATCGAGACACTTTTTTTTACGCTCACAAAATTGAACATTTTTATTATGTTAATACAAAACAGATAAAGTTATAAAATAAAAAATAGCATTAGAGACTAAGATTAAAAAACTACAAATATAAAAACTCAGAAAATTTATCTTAAATTATAAAAATTGAAAATAATTAAAAAAATATAATGACTAAAAATATTTATTTTAAATTATAGAATTAAAATAAAGTAAATGAAACTATAGAGATAAAAAAGTATTTTTAAAAAAAATAAAAACAACTTAAAATATACAACTACCATGCATAAACAGACCTTAAACTTTTGTGGTCGCACTTGATTCAGTAGCAGATTTCGTTGTCTCTTTGTCTCAATTCAAAATGCTTCTCTTCCTTTCCTTGGAGGGACAGTTTGGAGTTGGGGTGACTACTAGTTCGGGGTTGCAGTTTAGTCACAACTGACCTTGTCAGTTCTCATAATGGCAGCGTTTCTTCCCTCGTGCCATAAAATTGAAACATCAACTTTTTCATATTTAACGACCCAAACAAACCTTTTTCATAATTCTAACACATACCATGTGCCCAACGTTGGGTTGAGTAACATTGCAAGAACTCCGACGATCACTTTATGGAGACCAATTCATCATATATTTGGGACATGTAAAACGGGATTTTACTGAATAAACTCTTTTTCTTGGGTTAACAAAATTAATTATAAGGCTGGCTGAACTCACTACATGACCAGAAATATACGGAACAATTAATCATGCCAAAAGTGCTAAAGATTAATAACCCACTAAACACGTTCGCAAGAACTTAAACTCTTTTTGTGGCATAGTAATTAAGTAATTTTTTATTGCCTCGACCCTATATATAGTTGGTTGTTAGAAAAAGAAAAAAAAATTAAGGTGAGTGTGCGCATGCATGTGTATCGCAATCAGCTTGCTTGCATCTCAAGAATATTCGGTTCATATATGAAGCTAAGAACAAAGAACGAAAGGAAAAAGAAATAAGAACCTCCCAAGTCAAAACAGCCCCCAATGTTTAGTTTGCCTAATTTATTATCATTTGTGAAAGACAGATATATATGATGTTTAATTTTGAGGTTAACTTGATATAACATGGTTGAGTGGAAGTTTAGGTAGAAAAGTTCGAGCAAAAGCTAGGTATCACTTCCCTTTTTCGTAAAGAAGAGAAAGGGACCAATACAAATGCAAGGAAGTTGCAATTATGTACATGTCGGTTGCAAAACATCAATTAAAGAATTACGTTGGTACAATGTTTACTCCTCTTTATTTATTTTCCTCCTAAAACAAAAAAGAGAAATTATTCTATCGTGTAGG